AAACCATAAGGGTTGTTTCCAGCCACGAATTCCCCTTTAATATAAGTGCTCTTGGGTGGGGTGGATCATTCCATCAAATCGAATTGTTATAGTGTTACATATCATCAAACGAAAAAGATCACGTGACAACCAGTTAAAAATTATCAAAAAGTCATTCAAAACTTGTACTCTATTTCACTCCGTCTTCCTAATCCTAGCCAATGCAATTAAGAGTACGGGTCGAAGTGATTTAGGCACCTCAGAGAAAGCAATAAGATAGAGGTCGAACCTCCATGTTTGAAACGAGGTACCACAAGTTGATGTATTGTATTTTCAAAACAATAATCATTTGCTTCATAAGGCATCTTCTATTATACTGCTTCGACCCAAAGATATTTCGTACGTCAAACAGATTTGACAATTATTTAGCAAGCACTTTCAGTCAGTCTTTTGAGCGACAGGCCTAAGACATAGGATGACCACTTTAAAATCACCTCAAACTTAGGAGAACTGGATATGATGTCCATCGGGTTTGATTCGTAAGTGTCACGCATCCAACAAATACCCCCCATTTTCCTTCATTATAGAAGTTCATACTTTGTATCTTCCATTACACTTCGACACTAAGAGTTGTTTAGTATTTTCCCTTCAACCAAGATCTATACATTTTGCTCTTGTTCAACGTCTCTTCAACACCCGTAATTATTTTTTGATCGTTGAATGACTTTAGTGTCAAAGTGTCCACAATCGCCTTTCCGATTGTTGAAAAAGGTCACATGCATCTAACGCTTTAATAAGTTTGCTTTAATATAACACATGGACGAAAGTGGAGTCAGGATCCGAGGCCATATGTTTTCACCCAATTTTGAGGTCAACATATAATATGATTTCTTATGTTGCCAAAGTGGGTTAACACTGCCAATTGTCATGTAAAATTGAAATGCTAGAGTGAACTATTAATTAAGTATGAATTAGATATATATCTAAAAGATTTTGAGTATGGATTAAGAAAAAAAAGAGCACTTATAAGAAAAATACAATTAAACGTTCAGGTATCATTTATGATTTTTACGTATATTGTAGATAAATTTAGATATTTGACACAAAACTACCAAAATAGAAAAGGGAAAAAAATAAAATACCAAAATAGAAAGGGCAAAAATAAGATAAAAAAGCACGAAGTAAATTAAGCAAGGAAAATTTCTCAAGCACAGGAATTCTTCCACAAAATCCCTACAGGTGCTGATGTGGCAACAATTGATTTGCAGATAATTTTTTTTAATCATCTATAAATCATTTAAGCCTGGAGTCCAGGCATTATTTAGCCCCTGTTTGTTTACCATTTTTCAAAATATTGTTTTCTACAGTAATCAATCTCTACCACACATTCAAATAATAAAATATTCTACACATAAACCGATAAAGTTTCTTTCAATTTTAACTACACATTCTCCAAAAAATANATTGAAATAATGATTCTGCTTAGCCCCTATTTGTCTACCATTTTTCAAGATATTGTTTTCTACAGTAATCAATCTCTACCACACATTCAAATAATAAAATATTTTACACATAAACGATAAAATTTCTTTCAATTTTAATCACACATTCTCCAAAAAATACTATTCATTTCACCATTTTCATGACAATAATGGTAGACAAACAAGCACTTAACAAAAAAAAACTATTTGTACACAGGAGTTGACACCCCAGTGTACAGACCCCTTCACAAGAGGGGGCCCACGAAGGGGGTCTGTACCCCTAGGTATCAACCCCGGTGTACAAATAATATGGTCTTTTTTTAACAGGATTTGTACATGGTGCTGTTGTGGTAGCACCCATTGGGCCTTTTTTTCCTTTTTCTTTTTTCCTTTCAATGCAAACCCGTCAAGTGCTTTTCTTATCAAATTTCTGTTGAAAATGCCTGTATTTACAGCATTGTTCTCGATAAATAAATCCATGCCACGTGGAATCCTGTAAAAATTATGTGAAACCCACCCCCCCACCAAGCATTACTCAGCAAGCAATAACGTGGCATTACACATTACACAATCTTCTCCTTAATTCCTCGCCATTCGTTTTGTGCAGTCAAGAAATCTATCCACACCACGCAAAATAATTCAATTGCCGTTCCTCCTTTCCCAAGCAATACAGAATCCCTTTTTTCCTTATAAATTAAATTTCCAGTTCCATCTTTACCTAACTATCAATCAACCCACCTCACTGTTTATTCAAATCCCATTTTTACCCAGCTTATTTTGATTTTTCGATTAATTTCAGAAGTTCTCAACATGGGCATGGTGTTCGGAAAAATCCCCGTCGAAACGCCGAAGCACGAAGTAATTCACTCCACAAATGACTACGAAATCCGCAAATATCCACCAGCTGTAATAGCAGAAGTGACCTACGACCCGATCCAGTTCAAGGGCGACAAAGATGGCGGTTTCACTGTGCTAGCCAATTACATAGGAGCATTTGGCAACCCGCAGAATACTAAACCCGAAAAAATCGCCATGACCTCTCCGGTGATAACCAAGGAATCAGAAAATATCGCCATGACCGCCCCTGTAGTGACGAAAACACCCGGAAATAATAAGTTGGTGAGTATGCAGTTTTTATTGCCGTCAAAATACACCAGGGCAGATGATGCGCCGCGGCCGGTGGATGAACGGGTGGTGATAAGGGAGGAGGGAGAGAGGAAATACGGGGTGGTGCGGTTTAGTTGGGTGGCTAGTGATAAGGTTGTGGCGGAGAAGGTGGAGAATTTGAAGAAATGGTTGGCAAGAGATGGGTACAAGGTGAGTGGGGATTTTGTTTTGGCTAGGTATAATCCTCCTTGGACTTTGCCTCCATTTAGGACTAATGAGGTTTTTATTCCAATTGAGTGAGTTAATTTGGAAGATTTTGATATTAATCCAGTGTTTATTCAAGAACTGGGTTCGAATTATTTCATGCTTATGTTATGTATTTCGGATAGCTTGATGTGTATTGTGTCCATATATTATAGTTTTTGCATGTTTAAAGTGATATTTTGATAATTAATAAACGGCAATTTTTATCTATTTTGCATTTATTTGATATATTGAGTATGAGAATTAAAATTAATCTATATTTCAATACATAAATTTTATTTTGATCATAAATAAAAATTCTCATAATCAATGTTTGAGTATTCACACTTTTAGAAGGTTGAAGTGTTGAATGATTCACAATTTGAGATTTCGATTTGTCCTACTCGTAAAAATAATTTAAAGGTACATATCAGGTTTAATTATATAACATGATCGTAAGCAAAATTAAATTTCACTTGATCAATAGATATTTGATATAGTTTCCATGACTTCAATAGTCTTTAAATAAAATTTTGGACTACAACTCAGGTGTGCCCGCTGACCCATCCAGGTTGAGCACATATGGATCACGGGTCGCGATTTGGCCCGTATTATTGTATAAATAAAATTATAAAAATATAGAATTTTTCATAATTATAGCAAAAAATATTTTTTTTAATGTAAACTAAAAATTGAACAAAATGATAAATTCATATTTATACCAAAAAATATTTACATGGNAAAAAATATTTTTTTTGTTAAATGTGAACTAAGAATTGAACAAAATGATAAATTCATATTTATACCAAGAAATGTTTACATAGAATTCAAATTTAATGTTACATGAATTATTTATAACTTTACAAAGTTAAATTTAATTTAAACAAATAACAACTAAATTTATTTCTAATTACTATTATCAAATATTTATAGTATAAGTACATCACAACTAAGTTGTCACCTACATTATTTTGGACTTAATTATAGTTGTAATTAAACCAATTTGACTTTGACTTGAAATTAATTTTTGAGAGAAAAAAATTGAAAAATTGGTTTCTTATTTTCTTGATATTTCGTGGTGGTTATAAATGATTTTTTTTGGTTTAACTAAAAAAGGTGCTCACATGCTTGTACAGTCTTGACTTTGAAAAATATCATAGAAAACTTTTAGGCAAGCGTCAAGTTCTTGTAACAAAAGTTGGAAGCTCGTGATTTAGATCCGATCAAAATTTTGATTATCAAATTTTGGTAAATTTCCAATCTTTATTTTTTGATTATATCATACACATAAACATCTAGTAATAACAATCTTGAATTTAAAGAAAATTTCAATTTTTTGTATAATTAGAGGTCGAGTAATTTTATCATTGAAATAAGGGTAAGAGTTGTGCTGCTGTGCCAGGTCTGTAAAAGACCTGGCTCAGCCATGTGAGATAGGGTGGGTGGGTGTTTTAACATTTTT